CTGGTGGTGCCCGCAGTGTCAACCCCAGCTGCCGTCTGAGGAGCCACAGCACCTCCAGTCCTAAGTCCCCAGGGCCCTTCTTCCATGATCTCAGCTTTGGGGATTGCGGTCACTTGGGTGTGAACAGGATTGGGGTGGATGCAGAGGAGGGTGTGGGTGGTGGGACTGTCCCTCTCACTGGCTGGTGTGTGAGGCAGATTCCATAGGGGTAGGTTCTTCCCTCTTTGAGTTCAGATTGTTCTTCCTGTCCAATTCTAATGTGAAATATGAGAGAAATCGTAGTAGTGGATAAAGGGACAGGACGGGGGCTGTGGAAGTGAATGCCTGTAAGAAACAGGTGTGCTCCCAGTGTTGCTTTTCAAATATTTTTTTTTTTTTGGAAACAGTTGATTTGAAGGCCTCTAGTTTTGAAGAATAGGAAAACTTTTTTTCCCTCGTTCCTCTGGGAGAGCCACAGAAGAGAACGAAGCGAGAGAGGAGGGCTGAGTTGGCCTTCTGTCTGGTTCCTTCCCTCCTCATGGAGGCGCCAGGGTTGCCAGGGAGCCAGCTACCTTCCCGGTGTGACCCCTGGCCTTTGAGACAAGCTACTTGTTTGGTCCTTTAGTTGCTGTTTCTGACCTGATTTCAGGAATCAAGATACACTTCATTGGGTTGTTGGCAACAGCTAGATGGAACCAGGACAATGACCTGAAAATAAAGCTCTTTGTCATTTTCTGTGTTGTCTTCATTTAGCCAGAGAGACGGTGTGTGTGTGTTACAGGGGATCAAACCCAGAGCCCACATATGCTAGGCAAGCTCAGGATCTTAAAGTGCAGATGACCGAGTTTATCGTGAAGGTGATCCCGCCAGGTTGCTGAATCAGTCTCCATCACTGACCCCTACAACATAGAAGAGAGGTTGATTTTGGCTCAGGGTTTCAATGGGCCCGGTCCCTGATTGGTTGGCTTCAAGTCCAAAGTGACACATTGGAAGAAAGCTGTTTGCCCCATCCAGCCCGGAAGCAGAGGGGAGGGGCTGGAGACAAGTACACCCTCCAAGTCATGCTCCCGGTGACCCACTTTCACGGGGCCCCACATCATAAGAGTACAGCCATGAACTTAGCAGTGCACGAGTATCGTGCCCCATCACCCCGTTACAGTCACCTTCCCAAGACCTCCCAGTGGTTACCTGAGACTAGGGAACACTGCTGCATCTAAGTCATAATAGTGGGGTGATGAATCCACCTGAAAGGAGCAGAGGAGGAGTTCTGGGCACATTGTCCCAGGAGACTATGAGACCCCTGCTACTGTTGCCACAGGTTCTGGTCCAGAGGAGACAGTAAGCAGAGAGGAATAGAAAACTAGCTGAAAGGTGACTAAAAGCCACATGGTACCATGAAAAATACATGGGTTGATTCACTATAAAGGTCGGGCTGGCAAGATAGTTCTGGAGACTTAAGCACTTGTTTAGGCAAGTGCAGGGACCAGGATTCGATCCCCCAGTACCACATGCCATGTTGGCCCTGCCCCCGGGTGCACTGAGGTGACCGAGTCCAGGCATGATGGTGCATGCCTGTAACCCCAGAGGTGGGGAGGCTGGAAACAGGATCACTGTGAGTCTGAGTCTGGGTTGCGAAGTGCACTGTTACGGTTTGTGTCTAGTTGTTCCCCCATGACAGAAATCCTGCCTGTAAAGAGTAGGCTGGGGAGGTTTCTTCTGGGAAGGACTGCACTGGTTGTTGGACACCAGTCAACTTGTGTTACAGTGTGGCAGAAAGTTTGTCTGCATTTTGCTTATGTCCAGAGACTTTGCCTGAGACATGATGGACTGATTAATCTTTCAAAAGATATTTCAGGCTGGGAAGATGGCTCAGTAGAATAAGCGCTTGCCTGGCAAGTGCAAGGGTCTGAATTCAATCCCCAGTTCTGCCAAGAAAAAAAAAAAAAAAAAAGTATTTCAAAGCAGCCAAATGTAGAGGCAGTAGCCTGGCTATTGGCTTTTAGCCAGTTTTATGTTAGGAATGAAGAGCAAAGAGCCTGGCAGGATGATGTAATGTGAGTTTGGCCAGAAAGAACACTCCAATAGAGCTGTGGAATGCAAAGATAGAGATGAAAGGATCCCCACTGCTGGGAAGGAACCTGAGAATGGAAAGGATGGCCTGAGGGCGTCACAGGAGGTAGAAGTTCTCTGCCCTTTGCAGCCTCAGAATCCCAAAGGTCAGGGACTTTGCCTTGAGGAGGAAAGGCACTGCAGAGCACCACGAATGGTGGCAGTGGCCGCACCAGGTTCCAGAATGGCGCTGGCAAGGATGTTTATTCCTCAGAATCAGGGTCAGAGTGCTCAGCCATCCAGGCACTCGACCCCTACAGCCAAGAGAGAAGGAAACCTGGCTACTGCTCCAGCCGGCAGCAGACCTTGGCATCATCCACGTGGCGTTGGCTTTAGGCGCATTCAGAATGCAGGAGTTCTGAGGTTAAGAAGGCTTCCGCCTCGATTTCAGAAGAAGGCCTGGGACGCCAGGC